AGTTTTAAATAAAACTATCTTTTCGGATTTTTCGCGGATTTATTTTGATTCTTGGTTCCCGACGTTTCGAATGGTTTACGGCAATCATGGTCACGGGAGAGACTAAGGTTTTAGACGTCTCCAAGGTATTATATATAATTGTTACAGATGGCCTACCCACAAAATAACAAAATAAATTCAAAAAATGACACCAAAGTAACTTACAATATTTGTTAATTCTAATTTTAAACGTTTTTATAATTATTTAACGAGTTTAAATAATTGAATATGGAATAAACAATTTTATTAGATGTATAGATTGTAACTAAGTCGAATTTATACATTATATATATTTTTTTGAAAATCTTATTGAAACAAACATTATTATCGATACAGAGGCCAAATCTATAGTTTTTAGAATTTTTGTCTGTCTGTCTGTTACCGCATCACGAGAAAACCACCGGGTCAACATATGGAATACTTGTTACAGCAGGAAAATGTCTCATTTCTGAGAAAAAATACAAAAACTGCATTTTAAGAGTATACTAATATGTAAAACATAAGAATTTGGTTTTCGGTCATTTGAACGCGGGCGGAGCCTCGGGCAAGGCTAGTTATATTATAAAACCTATTGAAATATTCGTTATTATTGATACAGAGGACGAATCTACAGTTTTTAAAAATTTTGTCTATCTGTTTGCTATCTGTCTGGGAACACATCACGAGAAAACCACTGGACAGATTTTGGTATGATTATAGCTGGTTATCCAGGTCAATATATAGGATACTTGTTACTGCGGGAAAATAGCTCATCTCTAAGAAAAGTATACTAAGCGTTAAAATTAGGGACGAAACCAAACGGAGTGAGGGTAAGCGCTAGTATAAAAATAAATCATTGTGTAAAGTTCAGCAATAACTCCAGCCAAAAAAAATTGCATAAAAACTCGATAAAATTTACTTTTTTCGAGCCAATTACTCATTATTGATTCAATATAGCTAATGATGCTTAGTACATTGTAATAGAGTATGAATAATTTGAATGTATGCATTTAAATAATTATAATAAGGAAACCGCATTTAGCATATATAAATGTTATAACTCATGTTGTGTTTAAGTTTCTTTTTTATTTCTTCAATATACACTAATTTAACCTTTAAAAATATTATAACGTCCGCAAAAAGGCAGTAGTAGCCCAGTGGTAACGCGCCCGCTTGGGAAACCGAGTGAAGCGGGTTCAAATTCCGGGTCTCGCTCGTCTGATATTTTTATGTTCGAATCATTTCTAACATGATTACCACTTGCCTTACGGTGAAGGAAAACATCGTGAGGAAACCTGCATATCTGAGATAACCTAGCAAGTTTTCGAAAGCATGTCAAGTCCGCCAACCCATACTTGGCCAGCGTGGTGGACTATGACCTGATCAGGGGGATCAGGTCACATTGAAGGGAGGTTCCATGCCCAGTAGTGGGATGTTAAAAAGGGCTGAATACATAAGGTCCGCAAGTTTTGTTATTGTAACTAAAACAATTTTCTTAGGATAATTTGAAATAAGATACATGATTGTATGAATTTGTACAATAATTGCTTATTTTAACTGTACAATGCATAAGCATGGCTGTCTACAGGCATATAATATCTTCCCTATATTTGTAATATTTTACCTTAACAATAATTAAATTGTTACATTAATCTGGCAAAATATTTTTTTTATTATCTTTATAAATTATACATATATGTATATGTATGTAGAATTCAAAGATCAAATTTCGTTTTCATCGCCTAAAAACAAAATTTTTATTATTAGATTAGATTTATTAATAGAGCTCTCGGTTGGTGTCTTATTTTTTAGTCGTTTCCATTTTTAATAAGTTTAGACCACGGGTACTATACATAATAATTTTCAATTAACTATAGAAATAAACTTTTGAAAGTTTAACGAGACTTTCCATCACATACATTTTCATCCTTTATCAGGATGCCATTTTTTATGTGATAGTATAAGTGATGTTAGTATGACGTATATTTATCGGACATAGCAATGATTTAGCCAATATAGTACAGTAACAAAGCTAATGTCTCGGACGAATGTTGTTAGTGCTAGACCACCAGCACCACGCAGGAAATAAAATAATATTCTACAGTAATAAACATTCTTTTACGATAAAAGAGAGGCTTATCGTTAGAAAGCAGAAAGATAAATGCAATGCGTGTAATAGTAATAATGATTATCCACGCATAATACTGTATCCTCTCCCTGCTGAGATACAAATTACGATGAGTGTATAGGGATTAAGCTCAAAATACTGACCAATCAATATTTGTAAACCTTTTATTTAGGGCGTAATGAAATTTATCCATACTTAATATTATAAATGTGAAAGTGTGTTTGTTTGTTTGTTTGTCTTTCTTTCACGTCAAAATGGCTTGGCGGATTGGCGTGATTTTTTGTGTGGAGATAGTTGGAGGGCTGGAGAGTGACATAGGCTACTTTTTCCCGCGGGAGTTTATGTCTTTCTCATGCGAAAACACGTTAATACAATGCAAAAAATATTTATGATCAGAATTACTTGAAACTTGGTATTAATGCACTTCAAAAGAATTAATTAAATACGAGTTTTAGCATTTTTCGAAATTCATCCTATAAGGAGGTAAAATAGCGGATGAAAGTTTGTATGAAACCTACCATTTTAGAAGTTTTCTTGTAGTTTTAGCGCGAGCGAAGTCGCGGGCTCTGCTAGTAGGGTATATAAGTGATTAAATCATCTACAAATTAATGGAAAATAACAATTTGTTAAATATAATGATTCAATTGCTTTTCCTTTCAGTTCTTTTGATATTTAGTTGACCGATAACTTTTATGTGATAACTAGCAACTCACCCTCGCTCCACTCGAGTTCGTCCCTAGTGAAAATTTAGGTTTGTACATATGTACTTTTAATGCCGAATCATAAAAAAATTAAAATAAAATTTTTTGACCAAACAAAAAAATTTTTTTTTGGAGTTGGACCTCCCTTAAGGGACTTAGGGGTATGAAAAATAGTTTATGTCCTATTCTCAGACCCACTGAACATACAGACTAAGAGTCGGTCAAGCCGTTTCGGCGAAGTTTTGTTACAAACACTGTGACACGTGAATTTTATATGTTAGATAATAATGTGTAATAACTAAATAATTTCTATATAATAATAACTGAGTTAATGGCTGCTGTAAATGAACGATTAAGGACTATACCAACTTCCCAATTCGATATTGGCTCATGACGACACATTTGGCTCAGTTTGTAGTGACTCTACTTGCTGTACCAGCGGCCGCGGGTTCAACTCCCGCTGGGAGCATACATTTGTGTGATGAGCACGAATGTTTGTACTCCCGTCATGGGTGCTTATATTTATAATATATATAAATATATATTTAAAGTTATATATGTGTAGTGTATCAACTATCTGATACCCATAGCACAGGCCTCGTAGCTTACCACGGAACTAGATAGTGTTGTGTGTTAATGTCCCAACATATTTATTTATTTATTTATTTATCGATTATTTCAGTCTTCTTTGAAGTAATGACAATGAAAAATTACTTGCTGACATATATCCTTAAACTAACATTAATTTATTTTTAGTGTCCGCGTTATTAATTCTTAAAATATAAGCTTCTTTTTTGCGGGTGCATTTGGTCACGCAAAACAAAATTATTTTCACATTTTATAATTAAATGACTTATATTCATATTTTATTTTGTATATACATGTTATTTTAAAATTCGATACGTTTTTCTTTTATATGCAACAAAAATACCGTCTCACGTATTGTCACCAGAGAAGAATATATGGAAGAAGGAAAGAAAAAGAAAAGAATCCCATTTATACCTTAAATACGCAAGGTTTTATCTTTATCGACTGTTCTTCCATCCTTTATCTTAATACACGAAATATAGTTCTTATATTCATTTTTCTCTACATGTTTTCATTACATTACAATATTTAGATGTTGAAATTGCTTTAATTTTATATTTATACTAGCAACTTATCCTCACTTCGTTCGGGTTCGTCCCTAGGTACGTTTTCCCTAAAAAAGAAGGAAAAAGAAGTTTTCAAAGAATTTTTGTCTGTCTGTTACCGCATCACAGAAAAGCCACTGGATGGATTTTAATGAAATTTGGTATGGTGATAGCTGGATATCCGAGTCGACATATAGGATACTTTTTACCGCGGGAAAATATCTCATTTCTGAGAAAAAATACAAAAACTGCATTGTAAGAGTATACTAATATGTAAAACCTTAGAATTTGGTTTTTAGTCATCTGAACGCGGGCGGAGCGGCGGGCAATGCTAGTTTTAAAATATAATTTAACTTAACAATGGCAATATATCGTTTTCTTTCCTATTTTTGGGATAGGATGGAGATAATTGAATTATTTTGTTGTTAAAAATGTTGCTATCTCACAGGTGTTTTATTAAATTAGGTACTTTTAGTTATAACATTACAAAGAAAAATAATATAAAGCATTTTATCTTGTATAACTCTGTATCTTATTTTTCGCTTGACAGCCTTTAAATCGTTATTGCTTGCTTCATTTAACATTTCCGCCGGATCCATCGGTACTAACGTAATATTAATAGGAACTATCGTTTATTGTATAACGACAAATATACATCATTAAAGCAATGTATAACAACATTAATTTTCAATTCAACATAATAACCTATTAAAATATAGGTATATTATTTATTTTAGGGTTCCACAGCTTAAAAAATTTCGGAACCCTTTAGGTTCACTTTTTATCCATTCGTCCACGTTACGTCCGTAAATTTAGTTTTTCTTTAAAACACGTGAAGTGATCAAGTTGAAATTAATATGTAATACTACGATACCTTAGAGACATACTCGAAAATCTAATTTTTAGTCTTATATGACTAAAAATAAGTTTTTTATAAAATAAAAAAATTAAATCGTGTTGTAAAATAACCATATCAGAGATGATTTAGTGAAGAAGTGTGATAGAGCTTTTTTCACTGTGATGTTAATTTTGTCCTGCAATACAACTCTCTTTTCAACCGACTTCAAAAAGGAGAAGTTCCTCAATCCAGCTTTATGTTTTTTTAATACTCTTTGTCTAGAACATACAAGTGGTATGGTATGGTAGCATTATTTTAAATTGAAGCATCCATTCTTGTTACTTAGTGCTGGATAAAATATTGTATATACTAACTATTAATCGTACTACTTCGTATTTGTTAATATATTTTATAACAGATCTTCGTGTAAACGAACAACATAAAATTTTAACATCCCAATTAAGTATAATTTCTTATTCACTACACGATCAAACATAATAATTAAATGAAGCCATAACATTATGATTATTTCTATACGTTTCGGTTTCCTTTATACAAATACTTTATTGCTATTATTACATGTTCAGTATCATGGTTGCCAACATTTTTCACCAAAAAAAAAACATTTTTTTTTCAAATTGAAATAATTTAATTTCTAATATTTTTTATTTTACAATACATAAAATACAATTCAATCCTATAATTTTCTTCTTCTGAATAAATTTTTATTATTACCAATTTATATATGTAAAATACGTATTTAAATTAGAATCCATCAAGGTGATGATAATAATGTACTAAAATTATCTTTTTCATTATGTTACGATTTCTACCTGTCAACTCCTTTTTTTATTGTTGAGAAATACATTTATGCATCCCACTAGGTGGTTATGTGGAACTCACTGGCTAGGAAAGCCAGTAATACCCACAAAAGCCCAACAAAACCTCCCTTGTCTTAATGGGGCGTCGTAGGATCACTTACGCACTCAACCACGATGCCCAGACGGCAGGTCTGCCGAAACAGACCACAACAGCCATGGGGTTGCTCTAACGGTCCACTCCGCTTTCAGAGAAGTACCAGGAGTAGCCCACATGGCACACCGCCCACCGACGTAGGCCATCTTCGTTCCTTAACATGCCTTCGTTCTAAAAACACATACCTTAATGGTTGACAGAATAGTTAAATGGTTGACTGGAAATGATTGGAAAATTCACTGGAGATTATCCAAAGAATCGTCACTGTCAAAATATGAAAATTATACATATAGTTAGAAATCTAGAGCAAAATAGTTATATAAAGATTCAAACTATTAAAATGGCATAATGTTAAACTGTATTATGCACATTAAGCATGTACTTAGTGTGAAAGTAAACAATACTGACATATAATAGAATTGTACAATTTTTTGTCAACCCTATCAACGAGTATAATGCGGATACTAGCGATCGCGTGCGCACGCGACGCGTATGGGTTATTTCTCAGTACTAATCGCGTTCATCTTTTTAACCCAGCTCCTAATCAGCAGTCGACAGAACATATGATTTATTGTCGGCTACGTCTCAACTTATTGTTGAAATTAGTATAATATAATATGTTATTAATTGCTCCAACTTTCTTGTTTTTGTGTCACTATGTTAAAATATAGAATAAAAAAGAAAATTGATTATTTATTGTATTTTATATCATGTTATTATGGATATTTATATGTATTATATTACATTCAACATTAATATAATTCATATTATTTTTACTTAATATGACTAGGTATTAGAAAGAAATTACAATATAATATTTACATGTTAAGCACAGTATATGTGTTGTATATCCTTGGAGATAGAAAACTTTAATAGCTCTATGCAATGTTTTTAAACATGAATATTTAAGCAAACGTATGTATATATGACTGCCAATTGTGCCGGGGATATCATTATCAAACTTGCTTGAGATAGTAACCTTACAATTATTGTTTATTACAATTTCGTGTCCTGGTAAGTATGGGATAAATTATTACAGACTCTTCTCCGCCAAAATCAAATCATTTTGATCCTTATTTGTTCTTATAAGTTACTAGTGGCTCACTCTCGCTTCGATCAGGTTCGTCCCTTTTTTTTTTTAACGTTGGGAAATGCATTTACGCACGAGGTGTGGGACTCACCGGCAAAGCCAGTACTACCCACTAAAACCCAACGAAACCTTCCCCCGTCTTAATGGGGCGTCGCAGGATCGCTTACGCATTCAACTACGACGCCCCGACGGCAGGTCTGCAGAAGCAGACCACAACAACCACGGGGTTGCTCCACAGTCCACTCTGCTATCAGAGAAGTACCAGGAGCAACCCGCATGGTACACTGCCCTCCGAAGAGGGCCACCTCCCACCGCCCACCGAAGTGGGCCACCTCCCTGTGCGTTTCTTGGCTTCGCGCCCGGTTGGGTTGCCGGGCACTACTGAGCCCCCCCACCACAACAAGGTGAACGCACGTTGGGGGGGGTCAGGTTCGTCCCTAGCTTGCTACCCAATACAAACTTCCAACCCCATTTTCACCCCCTTAAGGGATGATTTCCGGGATAAAAACTCAAACTATCTTCTTACCAATTTTCATCTAAATCGGTTCATTAGATCCAGAGATTACCTTACAACGTCATAAACTCACAAACTTTACCTCTTTATAATATTAGTATAGATTGAGAGCACTTTTCAGGTTCTTTTCTGTTATACTTAATTCTATATTACTTAATAAAAAATGTTATAAACAAATGACATCCCTATAAACGTGATACGTATTTCAATTTAAAATACATTGTTTCACGATTTTGACTATACAAAGTAATAAACTACGTACACGGAAAAAAAGTATGGAGTATTGTAGCCTTTTTGTAGGGTCGTTATCCATACTATATACTTAATATGATAATTGTAAAGCGTGTTTGTTTGTTTGCTTCACGTTTGTTTCTTTCACGTCGAAACGGAGTGACGGAATGGCGTATTTTTTTGTGTGGAGATAGCTAGAGGGCTGGAGAGTGACATAGGCTATTTTTTCTTGGGAGATTATCTTATTCCTACAACAAAACAACTCAAAAAAATATATATGATCAGAATTACTTGAAACTTGGTATAAATGCTTTTCAATGCAGTTAAATAAATACATGTTTAAGCATTTTTCGAATTTCATCCTATGAAGGGGTAAAATAGGGGATGAAATTTTGTATGGAACCTACTTTTTTTAGAGATTTTTTATAGTTTTAGCGCGAGCGAAGCCGCAGATTCTGCTAGTACATTATAATATGAAAATGTTTATGATATTCATGTTTAATAAAAAAAAACGTAATAAACTTATTAAGGGATGCTATGTATATACACGCTGCACTAAAATCTTTCAGGCGTGAAAATGAATGTTATAAATAAACACGCGCATCGCGGCCTATTATCATACGAGCCTCAACACCTGTGTGGTTTTGTCTTTTGTAAAAGTAAAAAATTAACATTTAAAGTTAATCCCAGATAAAAATCGCCGAGGAGCAGACGGCGATGGATTGGTTGAAATTGGTCGGTATCTTTGGAGATTTCTTAGTGTTTTTGTGGCAGTGATTAGTGAAACGATGAAAAGGACTGTTTAGTGTTCTCTGTGACTGTGAAGTGTTCTTAAATTATATATTTGTGTTATTAATATAGCTAGTTTTAATATTTAATTTCGTATTGAAATCGAGACGAATAACATATTTCCTTATTTTTGTTTATTTCAATTTAAAATTTTTGCTGTTTCCAACCCGTATAAAAGTTTGGTATTAAAATTAAATTAACGTAATATACGTTAAACGTGTGATTTAAATTATTTACTTATTTAATAATTAAAAAAAACAATACTTTATAAATTATTATGTGATATAGCATTTTAATAGGTGTTTTCGTTGTTTACAGTTCACTCTTCTTGTAGCTGTTGCGTCTATCTCTATAAAGGCAGATGGACCTAAGTAAGTATTATACGAGTATTATTATATCATTTTTCTGATAGTTTTTCAAAATTACTCACTGCACTCATTAAAAGGTACAATTTGCGAAATTAAAAGCCAGTTTGCTGAGCGATTATAAAAAATTACGCAATGACCAATAATATTTTAGTTTGAAATTATTTGCAAAGCGATAACTGTAAAAAAATTAAGCGCGATGAATCATATTTTTTTTCCAATAATTAATTTTGACAGTTACGATGTAAAAAAATAGGCGGAATTTTATTATAAGTTATAATCATGTGTGACGATCAAACAGGACAGCGACGTCGCTGACGTTGAGAGGGAAAGCCAGTCGAGACACGCATGCCGTTGACTCTAAGCGGAACCACAAGAAAAACTGGCGAACCTGCATGCGAAAGTCATTGCCATCAATATATCAAGTTTCCTTGTGTAATTAGTGTAAAAGTATTAGACAACAAAGTATATTTCAGTATACCATCACTAATTTTCTTTTGTTACAGAAAAAAGATCCGCATACATCTACCACAGAAGGTGAAGCATATCCACCACCATAAGAAAATTTACATAACGAACCACCCAGCACCCTCGCAATATGCACCGGCTTACATGCCGAGCGCGGAGAGCACAGTGGCGGTACCCACGAGCGTGGCTTTACCAGCCATGGCCAATATCGTACCTATCAATCCAGTAGATCTTTTCGACGAAACTCAATCGCGACTGCCAACGATTGCACCGGCAGCTTCGCAGCTTTTGCCTTTATACCATGCGCGGGGGTATTACGGACCAATGCCATCTGAGATAGAAGAACCTGATGAAGACGTGTCAGATAACTTAGACTATGCACCCCAGTCGTATTCATCTCCTACCCAGAATTCCAACCAGCCGAAACGATTAAAAATTATAAAAATAAATGAACAACCTCGAAAAAAAGTTATAAGGAAAGTAAAGCCTAAACGTATTGTTATACGTAACAAACCTTTACCGCCACCCCCTGTAGATGGTGAACATCCCGTATCTACTTTTCATGAACAATTTTATTCAGATATCGATGGTTCTGGTACTATAAGAAAATTAAGAAAACCACCGCGTGTTGAAAAAATTGTGGATGGTGATACAGAACATATTCATACTTACAGTGAAGAACATATACATAAAGTAATGGCCGACGAAGGCTCTAAGGTGAATGGTGTTATAGGAGTTGACCCTTATAATGGAATGACTGCGATATCTAACGGGCACCACATAATTCCACTTAAAAATGGTCAACAGTTGATAGCTGTAGCAACTAACCCTTTCGCTGGATTAGCAGCAGTAGGTTCTTTAAATAGTCCCACACACTTTGAATATGCTGGATATAATCCAAGGGAAGTTACCCATGATCATATATTCCACGATCATGGTGAAATTCCTCCAGAGGCAGATATGAATAGAGACGCTTTGGGATACCCTCCAAAAGTATCTTACGATAGTCATGGATTGAGGATTGCCACGAATAACAGACAAAAAAGCAAAAATTACCAAAAAAATAAAAAACTTATAAAACCTTCTTCCGGTGATTTTTCTTATTATGAAAGTATTTATTCCCCTAATACTAGACCAAATAAAGTACAGAGACCTTTGATAGGAATACCATCATTTGATGGATCTGAAGAGGGCAATAATTATGAAGAATATAGACCTATTTCTGAATACGGATATAAGGAAAACTATAAAAAAACTCGCAGTCCAGTAAATTCTTATTATGGTAAATCATCAAATGACTATAGAGTCCAATCTAGTCCTCCAGCCCCATTTTCAGTCTCATCGACAGTGGTTCATGAATATAAACCTAAAAGATACCCTGGGTCCTCGCCTACACATGCATCTTTAACAAAATTTAGAGATCCGTTTGCTAATTTCAAAGACAGTTACTCAAATAATTTTGAATACGATACGTATGCATCCTCATCCAATATTTATACATCCGAAGACAAAAACGATGTTCAATTTACCAACCAAAATAAAAAAGGTAAGAAAAAATCGATATCAACTCAAAATATAAGTTTTGGAGGTAAAGATCACGTATCATATGTAGACCACTTGGAAGATGACAGATTTATCGATGGCTTAGATAGCGATGGTCCTACAGCATTAGAAAATGTCGAACAATTTGATCAACACCAAAACAGTGATATAGTAACACCAAATACATTTACTTTAAAAGAGTCTTCTCCAGTACATCAGTATTATTCCTTAATGGCAACAAAAGCCCTTCATAGTGACCAAATGTCCAGTTCACCAGAAGCATCTAATGATAACTTTCAGTATGCTGAAGCGCCATCCGTATCTACAACAGCATTCCCATCCGTTGCAACAACACCAAATCCTAGTTTAAGTCATTATAGCGTACAAAGTACAGAAAGACCCTATGTAGAACCTTCCAAGTTTGTAGCTAATACAAAATCAAGCAAAACTGTTGAATCGGGAAACCGTTATAATTCAAAAGATAATCAAAAATCACCCAGGGATCCCAGGATGCGGTCGTCGCAAAATCACGAGTCTACTCGTTCACACGAACAAGATAGTTTAATAGTCAGAGGAAATCTCAAATATGGTGACAAAATTTGAACTGTTTTTGAATGTAAGTTAATTGTTAAACTTAGATGTACATAGTGATAGTCGACTCTTAGGTTCATGAAGAAAGCCTGCAGTGATAAAAAGTCATAATCCTGTAGTAACTTAAATTATTTATAATATAATTTTTTCAAATTTTAAATGTAAATAACCAAGCAAAAGAACATTGGGCATTTGACGCGAATTCGTAGTTGATATTGTAAGGAATGTAATAAACATTTTAAAATTAAAAACATTTTAATTTTTTTACATCATTAACGAAAAAATAGAGAAATAATGAAATTATTTAATAATATTAAAATGTTATTTTTTTATAAAAAAAGATATATATATATATATAATATATATGTATATATATATAATATATATGTATATATATAATATATATGTATATATGTATATATATATATATACGAGAGTTTTGGCAGATTCGATAGGTAGTATATTAAAACTCTTAAGTTAATTCGTTAATCGAATTGTTTTAATACGTACGTAGTTAGAATTGAAATGCAATGTAATAAAGTATATAATGTAAAGTAATTTAACTTATCTAAAAATTATAATGAATTATTTTTAATAATACACCTTTTTATTGCATTATAGCGCCTTAGAAGATATCTTATGTTAACTATTCATGCTACGTTTTTGCAGTAAAGTTTTTGTAGGCGTTTTGCTTCAATACTATTGACTTGAACGTACAAAACATTTTCAGGTGATATCATAATTCAAATGAAACTACAAAAATAAACTTTTGTTAATCAATTTTTATTTAGATATAAAACAATCATCCGGTTATAAGGGATAAAAACAGGAAGGAAATTTCTCAGGCGAGCTTTCTACCATGATTCATGGAAATTGGAATGTTCGGAAGTGAAGGGTGGTTGCGCAACCGTATTAAGCACAGGCTGAGTTAACTTAAATTTACGTAAGTTACTTTGTACTTGACATTAAGCTTATCTTAAAAATGTTTTAATGCCTTCGTTTATTCTTCTTATTAACTAAATGAATATTTATAATTTTATATGAGTTCGAAACGTTAAGTGAATAGGTAAATTCTTACAAATAAATTAGCGTCCCTAAGTCCCTAATTATTTAACTTTACTCGCTTATCGCCATTTATTTCCATTGTTATTATCTCCTGAACTCGAGATTTTTCATCTACCTGCAGATTTCGCGAATTACTTGGGGTCGACACACGCCTACTACTACTACTTCTACCACTAAAATTCTGAACTTGATATTATATAATCTTATATATAAAATTTCCATGTCACAATGTTAGTTACCGTACTCCTCCGAAACGGCTTTACTGATTTTTACCAAATTTTATATGCGTATTCAGTAGGTCTGAGAATCGGCTACTATCTATTTTCCATACTAAGTGATAAGGATAAGGGTGGTCCTCCCAGACCCCACTTTTTATAAAAAAAACGATTGTTTGATGTTTAAAAGTTAGTAAAACAGAATAACCGACTTTTTGTCGAACTATTAGAGGTTTATATATTTGCCTAATTGTTATTATTCATTTACAATTGTTTGTGCCACACACGTCAATACAGCAAGCAACCAAGCACTGCTTTTTCCGTCAACTCCACTTACTACTACCGTTAATGTTTAGTTCTCTTATATCTTTCTCGACAAATAGATACGTATTATAAGAGCAAAAATCACAATTTACATATATTAGTTCACGAATTGACCATGCACATACGTACAGACAAACGCTGACATTTTAATGGACAGATTTTTTGAATGGAGGTGTTTAAACTGTACATACAAGCAGACATGCCATGAAATTAATACTATATGCATGACAACAAGTATATAAAACATGTTTTGAATATGTTATGAAAAATATAATAGAGAAACAGTCCCACTTTGTATAATGAGAAGGCTAAATCTTTTAGTCATCATAGTGTATTTCTCACGGTAGGGAAGTTAATCGTTTTAATAATAAAATTCTCAAGTATTAGAAACTCCACGTTAGTGTATTCTCACAGGCACAAAGGCCTTCAGACATCAATTCGACATTGTAGATACACTGTCGGTTGTAATTTTAGATTAAAACTTATTGCCGACTTTAGTCAACATACAATTTTTCTCACTGTTGAGATAACTATGTGTATATTATTATATATCTTCATTGCTTCCTTTCCTTGAATAATAAAAAAACAATGTTTAAACAATACTTAAGAAAAAGTTTAATATTTGAACTGATTTATTCTTCGCAGTCATTTGATTACATCTTTACTACACGTAAGTATTTATTTCTTGATAATGCGATATACATAATATATCAATTCTATTTTAAATATTATAGCCTATAAAATATCTTAATAAACGTTCGAAACTTACATTTATAATATTGTATCGTATTTTTAAGCCGCGGATTCTGCTAGTTAAAACTATAAATGAATGATCGGTCTACCGGAGTAACCTGCCGTAACTTTTTAGTAGTACGATAATTTTTATTTAATTATATTGGTACGAGTATGTTTAAAGTCTAACTAATGATTCGAGTGATACTTATCTTAATTGTTACTATTTGCCAAAGCAACTTACATTCACTTTGGTAATGAGTTGAAATATTCTACCTGTTTTCCTACATAATAGTAAAAAAGATAAACTAAATCGTTATGGGAATATTTAGCCTTTTTAGAAATATTTAATTTATGGTATTATTAATATTTAGCTGGAGCAAGATCAGAAAAGACGCGTTTTATGTTACATTGAAATCAATTAATGAAAACGAGTTCTATTAAATCTTATACAGTTCTAAATTTTTAAATGCAAATCAATTCAATAATTATTAAGAAAAAAGTTAGTGAACCAAATGTCTTCTTGTTTCTTTTCCTGCTCGCATTGTCTTAGATGAGCATGATGACCGCTTCCCACTTATCACTTTCACATAACTGGTATTACATAAAGCTTATTTTTTCCGCGTTCACATCTGATAAATCTTACGTTACGTCGGTGTAATTTAAACATAATATAAAAACTAACGACAATGCTTTTAAAAAATGAGTTAAATCTGATTTCATAATATAATAATATTTATATGGATTTAACATAGCTTATCAGGTTTATATATTTATATATTTTAGTTAAAAATAAGTTAATTATTAATAATTTTTACATAGGTTACATGGAGCATAAATAGCATTCTCACTATGCTAATCGCGCGTATATATAGTTGGATAATTGAGTTGATCGACCTGAAGACCTCTGACGCAATTCTAGATAAAAAGGCAAATCTACATTCATATGCAATTTTTTAAGTTTTAATTTGGAATTCATGGCAAAATTATAACATAGCAATAAGTTAATTTACATATGAAATTTTATCTTTAGACCTGTACTCTATGGTTTTTAGCACATTATATAATGATGAGGATGAATGAAACACACAATATTAAATATTAATATATTATAACTCATAACATTATAACAATAACTTACAACTACATAACTCACGAAAATTGTACTGTAATACTGGATCTCATCGCATTTCACCAGCGAAATCTATGACTTAGTTGACAATTATAACAATTTTAATTTTTAATTTTGAAATTTTATTTTCGTTTGTGATATGGACCACCTCCGTGACCAGCACCTAGTGCATTCGTGTAGCTGTCACCAAAACTACTTCCGCTACTGCCATGGCCGATGCCACCGCCATGCCCACCTAAATCAGATAAACTGAACCCACCATGCCCACCATGACCGCCGGAACCACCGAGGCTATAACTATCTCCGTGTCCTCCACCAAAACCTCCAGATCCATGACCTCCTCCTATACTGTAGCTATCTCCATGTCCTCCACCAAAACCTCCAGATCCATGACCTCCTCCAATACTATAGCTATCTCCGTGTCCTCCACCAAAACCTCCAGATCCATGACCTCCTCCAATACTGTAGCTATCTCCACCGTGACCTCCGCTGCCGCCACCTCCAAATGATTGGACACTTACAACAGAGTAGCTGTCATGCCCACCCCCATGACTTCCGCCAAAACCTCCGCCGATTCCACCTCCGTGACCACCTCCTCCGCTACCGAAGCCTCCAAGTCCAATCGATCCATGACTATCATGTCCAGAAAGCCCAACACTATAACTATCTTGGCCACCTGAATATCCATGGCTAGATCCACCACTGCTATGATCATCATGGCCTCCGTACCCCCCAAGGCCACCTCCAACATCGAAGCCACCGGAACCATGACCTCCACCGAAGCTGACACCGTGATCGCCTCCATGACCACTACTAAAACCACCTCCATGGCCACCGCCTATGCTACCTCCATGACCACCGCCATAGCCGCCTCCAAAACCACCTCCTCCGATTCCATCACCGAAGCCGCCTCCGTGTCCACCGCCATGTCCGCCACTACTTCCGCCGAGATCATATCCACCATGACTTCCACCTAAATCGTAACCTCCAAAATCACCTCCATGCCCACCGTCTAAATCTTGGCCTCCATGATCGCCACCCCCGATGTCAATGCTATGACCACCGTCAAGTCCACCACTATGACCACCTCCTATATCGTGGCCACCCCCGAATCCTCCCCCAGAATATCCACCATGGCCGCCTCCAAAGTCATGTCCGCCTCCAAAGTCATGTCCGCCACCGAAACCACCGCCAGAATATCCTCCGTCGTGTCCACCTCCAAACCCGTGGTCGCCACCGATATCGTGACCACCTCCAAATCCTCCTCCGTGACCTCCTCCATGACCTCCACCAAATCCTCCTCCGTGACCTCCTCCAAAGCCGCCTCCGAATCCACCTCCGTAACCACCTCCACCGTGGCCGCCACTTCCTTTTAAATGATCTGCGAAACCTCCATGTAAATGGTCAGCTAGACCACTTCCGTGGCCCCCAAATCCTCCACCGCCACCGCCGCCCCCACCGCCATGTCCATGTTCTTCATGTACTACTACTTCTTTCGACGAATGATGCTCCTCAGGTATATGGACCCGAATATGAACGCTGTAAAAAAACATACAATTATACTTAATACGGAACGAATATCGCATTGCGTCTTCATTGTCATTGTAAAAAGCGGATAAATGTCAAGTATGCCGATATAAAACTATGAGAAACCGCAGCCACAATAGGTCGCAAAGCAGGGTCAGACGTGACGCCAGTGAAAACATAAGGGTGAAGACACAATGGCTTTTCACAATTTACCACAATAAACGCGTGAGAAACCTTTAAGTACAGACATTTTAATTAAATTACTCCATCTACAAATGTCGTTGCGGTTCCGGTAAACATACATTGCGTCCTCTAATAGATAAATAAACAGCTTAAGCATACTTTAAACTAGAAAGTACTTAAAAACATGAGTAAATGAAAAAAAAGGAACATGAAGATACTAACTGTTCATGTCCAAAAGTCGCGGTGCAGATGCCAACGCTAGCCAGTAGGAAACAGCTCAGCTGGAATACAATATGTTGGGTTATATACTGTTGTTGTATAACAATCCTAGATAAGCTCGGTTAGATGAAATCGAAAGCGGTCAGTACAACTTGCACTCAACTAATCTCTAGTTCATGAATGTTCCGGGTGACGTAACCGAAGGATCTCGCTACTCGAGAGTGCATTCGCACAAAAACTTTAACAGGACGACCACTGAACTTTTAATAACATTATTTAGCTTTTATTATTATGAATAACAAGCTTTATTAATTAGACAAATCTCAAGAAATTAATAAAAATTTTTAGCTTTTAATAATATTTAATAAATATTAATAAGATAATTGTATATTTTTATAATAAAATTATTACGATAATAAGGAAATAAGTAGCATAAATAAATGTCGCTATATTAAAAAACAGACAAAATAAAGCTACTCACGGCAAATCGGTAAGCCATGGTATGTGATAGCTCCTGCTGCACACTGTGTTAACTCTTGTAGCAACGGCAAGACAACAAGCCTTTTATAAGACAGTGAATGTGCACCCCTACTTCGCACGCAAAATTTACTTAAAATGTAAAATTAATTTATTAACATTATTAAATAACTGAGTGTCAATGAATTCTTTTCTGGGGTAAAATATATTAAAATCTTTTGTTTTAATCACGTCATATTTACGTGTAACTAGTTAGTTTTTATTATTTAGTATTTTAAAATACAGGATACTGGGTATTTTTACAGACAAATGATATCGTTTCTGAAAGACTAATATAATTTCGTATTAAATATATCTTTGCATATTAATCGATTGGTTTTGTTTTTATCTAAATAAAGTTTTGAAAAAAATTACTTACCTTCGCTTCGCTAGATCGGTACTATATACTTTTATATGCGTACATATAGAGTAAAAAGCTTTTTAAATAATGCTAAAATAAATAAATAATATTTTTAATGTTTTATATTATTTATGGTTATACATAATATAATAATTGCAACACTAAATAATATTAGTAATTAATAAAGTTTTTGAAAAAAAAATATTTATAATAATAGCAGCTAAAATAAAATAATTAATATTGCTATATTTAATCATGATACTTATAAAAAAAATTAAATCCTTGGAATTAAAATCAAAAAATACTATAAGGTACTTTGGTGTCATTTTTCAATTTTTTGAAATCATTTTTGTAAAATAGTGGGTAGACACTGTCTGTAACAAATATATAATGCCTTTGAGACGTCTAAAACCTTAGTCTCTCCCGTGACCATGATTGCTGTAAATCATTCGAAACGTCGGGAATCAAAAATAAAAATAAATCCGCGAAATAATCCGAAAAGACAGTTTTATTTAAAATGTCAAAATATATTCGCGTAAATCTAACAAAGTACTATTAGAAAAAGCTGTTTTTTTAGCATTACATGCAGACACTTTAATTGTATTATTTTTATTGAGAAAACTACGTGTGTGATAATATTTAAATGAAAATTTTAAAACAAACATATTTTGTTTTAAAACAAAAGTACTATATTCTTGGTAATCATTATTTTATCTAATTATCTAAAAGCAAACATGAACACTCATGGTTCAATATAAAATTCATAATAATATGTTAGTAATTTATTATTCAATTTCCTCTCTCGATTAAGTCCAACTTAGATTTAATTAGATTACATAAATTAAATGGAAAAGTTTGAAAAGAAAACAAATAAGAATTTGCGTAAAACTAAATAGGATTTTTAAGTTAGATATATGATTATGCAAGGCCTTAATGACTCTTCTCTGTAGGAAATGTGAAGCGGGCGCGGTGATAGCTTTCGATTACTGTGTATATATTATTTCTAGCAAATACAAGTCATAAACGATTAATCAACAAGTTTAACGACCTGAGTACACGTTAGTTTGTAATATCCGTTGCTCTCAAGATTGTGGAGATCCACATCAGATCAAGATCGCTATACCTAATATTTAGATTTATGCAATATTACCCATTAATTAGAAATTAGAGTGAAGTTAAAGTGAAGTTATGTATATGAATACTTACTTAGATTTACGCGAATATTTGACATTTTAAATAAAATTATCTGTTCAGATTTCTTCGTGGATTTATTTTGATTTTTGGTTCAACACAACATATTATAATAATAACTGCTAACATTAAATAAATAATATTGCCATATTAAATTATAATACTTATTAAAAAAAATGTGTAGAAATAAAATCAACAAATATTGTAAGGTACTTTGGTGATATTTATGAATTTTTGATATCATTTTGTAAAATTGTAGGCACTGTCTGTAACAAATATATAATGACCTTTGACACGTCTAAAACCTTAGGCCTCCGAAAAATCGTCGGTGCCCCTCGGTACGTGAGGAACGCTACTATTCAGCGTGACCTCCGTGTCGAGAGCATCGACGACTTCATCCGCCGCTCTAGTAGGGGGATGCTAGAGAAGGCTGACGCCTCCGCAATCAGCCACATCTGGGATATAACACCCTGGCACGCCCGCCCACTTGACCGCCCCGCGCTCCCCCGTAACCTGCTAGCCCCAAAGACGCTGATCGCCTGGCTGGGCTTCCCTGTATAGGGTTGCACCCGGCCGGGCGGTTCTCTTCACCTCCGATGCCTTCACGGGCCCCAGAAGGGCCCTCCCAGCGACGCGCCCATAGTAGTGGGCAGCGAAAGAAGCCACGGCCAGAGGGGTATGCCCTGATGCCGTTTCCCCACTCCCCTTGCTGGAATTTGAGAAGACTCGGAGTAAAACCTTAGTCTCTCCCGTGACCATGATTGCTGTAAAGCATTCGAAAGGTCGGAAACCAAAAATCAACATAAATCCGCGAATAAATCCGAAAAGGTAGTTTTATTTTACGTGTATTGTTATAGCAAAGTGAAGCATATCTATATAAAGAACCGATGGAAAGATATAATTGAAAATGAAATGAAAGAGGTCTGGTTAAAACAACCTTATATTAAAACGTTTGTATAACCTAATCCTCTTTCAGACATCAGTCCATCGATTTTACTACGGAAGTCATATTCGTTTCTTACCATTTACAGGATTTCTCTTTAATAAATCTATAGGTACATATATACATATAATAATATTCTATCTTAGCCATTAAATATTTTTTGGAAAATCTTATTGGAATTATCACTATAGAAACCGAATCTATAGTTTTTAGAATTTTTGTCTGTCTATCTGTCTGTCTAGGAACGCATCACGAGAAAATCACTGGACAGATTTTGATGAAATTTGGTATGATGATAGCTGGTTATCGGGTCAACATATAGGATACTCTTTACTACGCAAAAATATCTCATCTGTGAGAAATCTATCCCAAACATTAAAACGTAACGTAACGTAACCAAAAAATATTGTTGAGGATTGATATCTTAATTTTTCACTAAATAATTATCTATACATATTATAAAATTGTAACCACGCCGAATCTGTACATTAGATATTTTTTGGAAAATCTTATTGAAATAGATATTATTATCGATACAGAAGCCGAATCTATAGATTTTAGATTTTTTTCTGTCTTACTATCTGTTAACGCATCACAGAAAAACTACTGGAGGGATTTTGATGAAATTTGGTATGGTCATAGCTGGTTATCCGGGTCAACATATAGGATACTTTTTACCGCGGGAAAATATCTTATTTCTGAGAAACAATACAAAAATTGGTTAGAATAAAACCACGATGATACTATATATATTTTAGCAAGGTAACTTACTAAATAAGGCAAAAACTATTAAACATAGCTTATCTTGAAAAAAAATAACAATAGCGCTATTTGATCTGGTTTTTGGTCATCAAACGCGGGCGGAGTCGCGGGCAATGCTAGTAGTTTATAAAATTTCTAACGAGAATCTAACCTATCAGATTAGTTCCTATTGTACATTTTAGAATTTATACTATACTATCCGTACCCGCGGCTTCGCCCGCGTCCAACTTTCCGAAATTCTATAATGGTTTTAAATGATCCAAATTAAGACTCAAAAATAAATCTCTTAAAAGGTACGACAGACAGATAAGTAATAAATCACGCTATATCGAAATTTGTCCTTGAACGCAGAACTTAAATTGAAAAAAAAGAAAAGGTAGGTAAACGTAGTAAGTAAAAAAAACAATAATTATCGAAAATGTATCATGTATATACATAATTTATATTTTGTAAAATTTGTACGTCGTGCGTGACTGATACAAATGTGAGCTGTAGATATTAATAAAATACTTTTACATTTTGCGTATATTACTAAAATATGGACATGACCTACTTAATCGCGCATTTCTTTTGAAATAAAAGCAAGCTAATGTAAAGAAAAAGAAAGACATACTGTAAGCTTTATGAGACCTGTAATAAATCTATACATATAATAAAATTGTAACTAAGTCGAATCTGTATATTAAATATTTTTTGGAAAATCTTATTGAAATAGACACTATCATCGTTACAGAGTCCGAATCTATAGTTTTTAGAATTTTTGTCTGTCTGTCTGTTACCGCATCACGAGAAAACCACTGGACAGATTTTGATGAAATTTGGTATGATGATAGCTAGTTATCCGGTTCAACATATAGGATACTTTTTACCGCGGGAAAATGTCTTATTTCTGAGAAAAAATACAAAAACTGCATTGTAAGAGTATACTAATATGTAAAACCAAAGAATTTGTTTTTTGGTCATCTAAATGCGGGCGGAGCCGCGGGCAATGCTAGTCTTTTATAAACAGTTACTATAATTTGATTAAATACTTAAAAATCTATTTTAAAATATTTCGCATCTATAATAATGAATTTCAACCGTTGAAAATCATTTTTATCGCATCACGATCGTATAAGTTTGTTATGATATTCGTTTATTTAAAACCATGTATGGAAAAAAGTTACATCATCGGTAAATGATGAGTAAACACACGAAAAATTATATAACGAATGCGCTCGCGCATATACATAATCATATAATAAGCATTTTAATGATAGGTTGCTCTTCTCGCGTGTAAAGCCTTTAATTGTTAGTATAATCCAGGATCCAGTGTAAAAAATGTTTGTAATTACAATAAATATAAATTTAAGTCTTAAATATATTCGTCAGACTTGTCATGTTCGAAATTCCATTTTAATTAGGGTTCCGTAGGCAAATGGCAAAAATAGAACCCTTATAATCTCACCATCCGCCCGTCCGTCTGTATGTTTGCTTTAAGCCTATTGAAGCTACATTGCTGAAAATATTTAAGCAAACGTAAACGTATGAAATATCTCTGGATAGGTCTTAAAATACAGATAGATGTGTCTAAGTGTTTTTTTTTGTACAGGCCAATAATTGCAGAGTTACGAGTACATGCTCCTGAAGTTGAACATTGTGTCCTCAAGGTGTGTCCTCTTCATATGAAATATAGATCAGCTAAATTTTTTTACAGTATTTACACTGAGTAGCTTTGAGATATTGGATAATAATAACTTGAGTAATACTATAACAAACTTATTTATGATACCAATAAAAAGAATATCGCTGGTGGGTAAAGCGAGTCAAACTCGCACTTTACCGATTATTTATGAATCTACCTTAAATATGCAGCACCTACTTATATAATGTTAAATTCTGCTGTAAATAAAAGAAATCAAGTTATTTACCGTGTGATCCTAAACTATATGTAAATCTTATGGATTTTATATGTAATACTTATGTGGACATTGCTTCTATGTATTAAATAAGTTAAATTTAACTATATATGGTTTAATTAACGCGTTTAATTTATTCAGAGTGAATGTTTTAGTTGTATACCAAATATTTAAAGTAATAAGATGTACCTAGTAAGTGCCAACTATACATAAAGATATTCAAGCGTGTTTGTACTTCAGTTATTTACAAAACCAGAGAGAATATAACAACAACTCTCCTTTCATTTCCCCCTCCATTCTCCGCTTTACATCTATTGCGATAACTTATGGTATAATATGATCCATGGTAAAATAATAATATGATCCATAGCAAAATACGCACGATATGCGAAATTTCACTCTCTAGAAGGTACTATTGCCAAAATATCCATTCATATTAATGGTTGATCTTTTAACGGTGTCATAATCTTGTTATGCATTAGTTCTTTTACTAATAACTCGCTACTCAGAACAGAACTGACAACTTTTTCTTGTACGCAAGTGAGTGTATATTTGGGTAAATATATAACATACTAATATTATTAGTCTAGGCAAGGCAAAGGTTAGAGAGCTGGTTTGATTACTGCCACCAAACACGAATTTTTTAACGACATTGATGTACCTACCTATGAAATCTTATTAGGCCTTTTTTCACGTAAGAAAATGTATATACGCATAACACCTGCTTACATACAGGTGGTTATATGGGACTCACCGGCTAGAAAAGCCAATACCACCCACTAAAACCCAACGGAACCTCTCCCATCTTAATGCCGTATCGCATGATCACTTACAAGTAGACCATAACAATGAAAGGGTGGCTCTCATTCATCTCATCTCTCTGCTATGAGAGAAGTACCATGAGCAACCCCCATGGTACACCGCCCACCGAAGTGAGTCGCCTCATAAGGCCATTAAGCTTAGACCTACAATAAAAAATGGGATAATTATTTGAAATAAGAATTTCATCACTACATTACAGTGTGTACTGTATGTTAAATATTTGTTATTAAATCCACGGCTGAACGGATTTGGATGTAATTTAATACACAAACTATAACCGGGAGTATCACGTACGCTACCGTTAGCAAGAATTCATGTCGCAAAAGGCACCTAGGGACTAACCCAAGCGAAAAGGTATGTCGCTAGTAATAAGATCACAGTAATATCATAATTGCGAAATATTTAGAGTGGCTGTGTTTGTTCCTTCTTTAAGCTATAACTTGAATAAACATATTAGCTATTTTTTTATCAATGTACACAATACGTGAGTGGAGCCATGGGCACAAAAAAGTGTATTATAAAATTCTGTCAGTCTTACTGTTTTTGCACTTATAACTCGAGAACTATTTGTATTTTACATTATTCTTGGTTAATATGAAAATACGTCATCCAGTCAAGTTTTTGTAGAATAGTTTATTTGGTTATGTAAATTACTTACAAATTACGACTCGTTATTAGATGTAATGGTTTGAGTTCATGTCGAAAAAAATCCTGTAGATTAATGAATGGTGGGACGCTAGTCTTATACTTAATGCAATATATCTTACTAATATTATAAATGTGAAAGATTAGATGTTTGTAAACATACAAACGGATGGATGTTTGTTGTTCAATAACACCAGAATGGCTGATCGGATCTGGATGTTTTTCACAGAGATAGATTATAGTCTTGAATAGCGCTTAGGCTATCTATCCTGGAAAAATGTACGGTTCCCGTGGGATAGATTTGTTTTTGTTTTTCTTGAACCGAACCCGAGCGAAGCGAAGTTGAACCGCACACCCCAACTGCAGTCTGAGATAAAAAAAATCACTTATATGTTGTAATAATTATTCAGACCAATTCAAGACGAAAGTCACATACATTATTTCTGGTACTGTTCAGGTTATTTGTCACGCGTGTTGTATATAATTGTGAGCTTACAAAATAGTTACATTGTGTTAGAGAAACAGTATTTATATTTCGTTGCAGTAATAACTACTTCATTTTTTTTCACTTTGTCTCACTATTGAGACAAAGTAAAAAAAATCAAGTAGTTAGCTATCTAATGTAATTAAAAATGAATCAATAATAAATTAACCGACTTCAAAATATGGGTATGGTCTAATTATTTTTATATCAAACAATTTTATGACTTTCCCTATAATAAATAATTATTTGACAAAAATTCTCAAACCAGAAAAAGTTTTATTAATTGATAAGTAGGTAGATATCTGAGAAATGAAAAGACTACATTTAAATATTATATGATAGATATAATCTATAAATAAATAAATATGTTGGAACATTATCACACATCATCATCAGTTCCAAGCTACGAGGCTTGTTGTTATTGATACCAGATAGTTGATACTCTATATATAATAACTATAAATAATAATA